CAGATAAACACATTCAAAACAAAATATACATTGACTGTATACTTTTAAAGGAGAATTTTATGTTACATAAAATTTTGTTATGCAAATTATATCTCAATAAGAAATATAGTATCAGATAATTTCATTGTTTCATAATAATAAAAGGCTCATTGTTAAGAAAGACACAACAGGTCAGGTGTGGTATCTTACACCTGTAATCTTAGTGTTTTGGGAGGCTGAGGTGAGAGGACTGCCTGAGCCCAGGAGTTAGAGACCAGGGTAGGAAACATAGAGAGACCTTGTCTCTACAAAAATATCAAGAAAAAAAAAATTAAAAATTAGCTGGGTTTGGTCACATTCACCTGTAGTCCCAGCTGCTTGAGAGGCTGAGACAGAGGATCACTTGAGCCCAGAGGCCAAGGCTGAGGTGAGCATGATTGTACCACTGCACAATGGAAATTTTATCATCTCTACTCAGCAACTGCCAAAATAATTAGACCAAAAAAAAAAATCAGTTAAGATACAGAAGTTAGAACATTATCGACAAACTTGACTTGGCATTTATAAAATATTGCACCAAGTATGGAAGAATTTACATTATTTTAAAGTGTAACTGGTGTGTTTGTGAGATTAGACCATATTTGGGGGCACAAAACACAACTCAATAGATATGAATAGTTTGAAATCATGCAGGCTATGATCTCTGACCCCAATGGAATTAAATTCAATACCAATAATGAGATAACCAAGAAAATTCCAAAGATCTGTACTTAACACACTTTTAAATAATCACTGGATCAGAGAAGAGTCATAAGTAACACTAGAAAATATTTTAAGGCTGGGCTCGGTGGCTCACCTATAATCCTAGCACTTTGGGAGGCTGAGGCAAATGGATTGCCTGAGCCCACGAGTTCAAGGCCAGCCCGGGCAATTTGGCAAGATCTCATCTCTACAATAAATCAAAAAAATTAGTCTAGCATGGTAGCACACACCTGTAGTTCCAGCTACTTGGAAGGCAGAGGCAGAAGGATCGCCTGAGCCCAGCAGGTTGAGGCTGCAGTAGCCATGAGCATGCCAC